TTGCTTGCGGCAGCCTAACGGCTTCCTTGCTGGGCTGGCACCGCACGTTCGTTCGGGTGTATGCTCCCATCACAGTCCCCAAGTCGATATTCATAGATAAGCTGATGGCGTATACTTACGACTTTACGCTTGGTCACGTTAAACTGCAGCCGGTTATCGGATGACCATGCATAAGCCCTGTCGATATCGTTCTGCAATGTCATCTGATCATGCGATGTCCTGATATCATGCCAAATTTTGCTATTATCTGCAATTAGCAAAAAGTTCGAGTGAAGTACACTAACAAGATTGTTAATGAAGGTTAGGAATAAAGGTGGCCCAAGTACCGATCTTTGGGCCACGCCATACTGGATATCAATTAGGTCGGAAATGGAGCTGCGGATTCTCACATTCAGCTGATGTTGAGCGAGGAAGGTGCCGATCCAACCGAGTATAGGGTCACCGATTCCATAGCTTCGAAGCTTGTGAAGGAGAATGCGGTGGTCCAAACGATCGAACGCTTTCGAGAATTCCAGGTAGACAACGTTGACTCCCACTCTGGCATCGACTAACTCTGTCCAGCTTGCTCGGGCTAGCAGCAAGTTTGTAGTGCATGATCAATTTCGGTGGAATCCGTGTTGTTGCGACACTCGGATGTTGTTGCTCTCAATATATCCCACGAGCGCCTCTGCAATTACACGTTCCATTACTTAGGATAAAACTGGTAGTCCGAAGGCGCCGAACAAATACCACTTTTGTAAATAGGAGTGACTAGTCCATGTTTCTACATTGTGGGAACCTGCATTTCGTCGGGACAACGTTGAAAGAACCAAGCTAATGGTTCGCCAAGGTTCTTGATCGCTGTCTTCAGTGCCTTCAATTTGATGTCGTCCACGCCAGGTGAGCTGTGCACGCGCAATGACATTAGCCTTTTCATCACATTGTCTGCCGTGAACGATACGTGGTTTAACCCTGGTGGTGATGGAAACTATGTCAAAGGCGGATGAAATGATGGTTCACTTCGGAAAATATGGATGAAGCGTTGGCGAAGCACGTTGGCTGCATCTTGTTCGGTTTGCGCAAGACCATCTGGGATCCGGTGCTGCACTCTGCGGAGCTTGTTGACGTGTCTATACAGCAACTTGGGATTTGCACTAAATTTCGCCTCTAAGTTCTGTTGGTGTTGGATATTGTCTTGGCGGATCAACTTGATGCATTGGTTTCGTTGAGTTGTGTAAGCACCTCAGTTCAGATTACTTGGACAGACTTTGTAAGTGCCCCAGGCTGAATCCCTTAAGGCCATGCATTTTCTAGTACGACTCCTCAGGAACGAATTCACCTGCTTCGGACGAAGAATATTGCTGTCTGACGTATATTTCACTAGCACACTGAATTGAGTGGCGAACAACATCCAGGAGATATCAGGCGGCTTCTCAGCCAGGAAGGACCAGTTGGTTTCTTGAACGTAGTTGGACAACATATCGTAATGGGTGACGACATAGGTTTCCACGTTGTTCTCATTTATGTACTCCGACTAGCAGACATAACGGAAATTCATATAGCAAATATTTCTTATGAGGGTTGAAATCTTCATTTCTAACGGTACTTAGAAGAAAACTGATCTCCATGCTCAGAGACAAACATTGCACCTATCGAGAGCTATGGTCTATCAACTGCCAATGGGTTTGATTGAATACAACCTGAGGGCGGACAGCGCACAAACGCGTGTAGAATAAAATGGAGCTCTGGATATCTTCATAGATAGGGCTCCACTCTCTTAATTTTGAAAAGTATCCGACTCAACTAGCGTTTTATAAATTGGTCATGGAGAAACAACTAAGCAAGCGACCTAGATAAGAAGAGGGAAAGTACTGGTTTGCATATAAACAGTAATTTACACCAGAAATGACCCCACGTGGGTACCAGTTACTTATAAAAATTATGCTTCCAACTCTACCGTGGAGGTGTTATGGGGAGAAGAGCATCTAAATGCATGTCCCTGTTACTGCTGCACGCCCCAGCTGGCACATTTCCAATCAAATTTGCAATGCTGTAATAATCTTGTATTGGTCTGAATTGAATCGTTCAGCTGAATTCCCAATTGAGTTCGGAGATACAAAACCTCCGCAGTAGTTCGCTTCGAACACTGGCACGAAGCAAGTTCTATTTTGGGTAACATCCTCAGAAAAAAATGTCCTAATTTATGCGGAACAGAACACTGTCGATCACAAGTTTTGCCAGAAAAGACTCACTTTTTGCAGTAACCGCCCACATTCCCGAACATGTGTCCTCACACCAGGCTCAAATTCGTCGGTCAGCTGACCCACAAGCTTGTCAACTGCCTCGTTTAAACGACCTTGGAGGGCTGTCAGGCGATCGTTTGTGCGCTCCTTCAGACTGTGAGAAGTGGGCGGAAGTAGGTTTCACTTCGATACTCATTAGGATGCTGATGAATGATTTCTCCGAAACAATTTAACATAAAAATAACTAATGACATGGAATTCGTCTAGGAGACTATAATGGCGTTCCAGGACATGGAGGTAATGAGAGTGCGAGTAATGGGTACGCTCTCGTGGTACCAGCTGGGTGGCTTGGGTTTACTCCGCTCCAGCAAATAATTCGGCGGCAGTGTTCCAGAACGTAATGGGTATTCGCCTGGCAAGCGATTACTATACAAAGCCACAAATGTCAGCTTAAAAACACTGCGGCGTGGCAATTGTGACCCGCCACCAAATAAAGTCACTGTCTCTTGCTTAACCGGACAATATTATTCAATTACAAAAATCCCAGCTGACACTGGCGACGCGATCAAACACAGACAAAATTGTATCAACACCTTTAGGAACCTGGGCAACATAGTTACCTAAACACGCACCTACACACCTGCATACATTCATGGATACACTGATATGACAATCCAGTTTTACTTTTGTACATTGTTCGATCACTCACTCTTACCATGGTCATACCAGTGCAGGCGTGCCTCGCATAGTCGGGAATACACTATTTAGTCATTTACTTGACATCTGGCTTGGTGATAACAAATAACAAACCCGTAAGTGCTATTGACCTAACTGGATCACTTGCTCGAAAACAGAGAAGTGAGTACAATTCAGTTTAGCCCCATACCTAGCGGTTATTTTCCATCTTCGTGATACCAGTTATTCACCCTAACTTCTCATCAACCGGTTGATTTCTGGTACCTTCAACTTCGGACGCCTTTTTTCTGAATCCCATTACACGGACTCAGTTACAAATATACTAAATAAGTTATTCACTTGATTAGCTCTGTTTTTTATAATTAGCCGTTAAACGATGGAAATAGTGAGAGTTCCCACAATCACTCGGCAAGGCCGGCTACGCCCCTCTTATGTGACCTAATCATCGTCATGGATCTCACTCACCTTTCCCGAGCCATGGCCTCGTACACCTTCTCCAACTGAACTCGAAGTTGTTGCGTGTTATTCACAAGAATACAAGCCACACGGACGTCGGATTTGTGGCTGGGAAAATCGGCCACCACTCTCTCTGTATAAGCCAACAGCACCTTCTCAACCGTCTGTAAACAAAAGTGAATCCAAACAGAACAAAACACTTATTTGTGATTCAATATAATCCTTACTGACCTTATGACAGACATGTAAGACAAATGATTATGTTAAACAGCGCAGTTGCCTGACAACCTATGGGCGTAACTGTGCGTGATTGTGTGTTCTTCAAGTTCTTAGCAAAATGCTACTGGGAGTCATATAAATCGGCCTGATTACTGCGGTTGAGAGACATTATGGACGCATTAATACGCTTGAAAGTCTCAACGGAACTAAAAAAAGCTGCCCCGTTTTTGATTTACTAGTGAGTGTTTCATACTGTGTGCTCGAAGAGCGGTATGGTACCGAGAACCGAAAAGCAAATCAATCCAGAAACTAGTGTACAAGATTATGTGCAGAATACCCTGTGTCAATTCACTGGCAAAATAAGCTAACTATATAATTTCCCCACCGACTGCATCCTTAAAGCAATGGCTTCCATCCGTAATATAGTGGCTTGCATCCTTTGCGCAAAAAGTATGATCCGATAGTCACCAAAATGGCATGCACGACGTCTTAAGTGAGTCAGCTGTCCGCTGGCCTCAAACGGATATCTCATCACCTCGAGTGGTCACGAAACGTTTGCAGTCAACCTACCGAGCTCAGCAAACACTCAGCCCACCAATTTTGTCTCATGTTTAAATCGGCTTTCCTACGATACCAAGAGGTGCATCAAAATGTACCTGGAGTTACGGATGTGCACAGTGTGCGCCTGGCTTCAGATATTTTGTTGCTTGCTACAATCATTCCGTGTAAAGTTTAGGCATTTTGACCAAGCTCAAAAAGTATTTTTACAAGAGCATAATTTGTGCATGTCCTTTGCGTCGAATAGCTGCTGGGCAGCTCTTGTTCTATCTCACTTAATGAGAAATCTGGTCTACTCCGTTGTGTGATAGTGTTAAGGGTTTGTTTGCTATGAAAAGAGAAGTAGGCATTCCTGACACGTAGAGCCGCCTAACATAGAATCGGCAGTCAGCTCTATTTGAAAACGGTGTTCGACATGCAAGTATAGCGGAAAATGTGAACGCTAGCTTTAAAGCTGATCTACAGCTATTTGCTGTTTACTTTCGTTTTGTCAATTAACGCTCGACTGTTGTATTCAGTGCAATTCAATTTTCAGCTAGGTAAATAATTTTCACTCGCTTAGAACTGAAGTGCTCATCTAGCTTCCCCTCTCTAAATGGTTGGGACATGATCTGGTGGTTAACGTACGCAAGGAGGAAGGAAGGAAGATGTACTCACTAAAGAAAACCGATGCAGAAAGTGCCCTTCAATCTCCCTGTCTGGACATTCGAGCTTTCTAATTACATCAAAGCACTGATTCAATTGTGTGAATACATCTACAACGGAGTTGGAGTAGAGAACATGCTCGCTTGAGCACTGAAATCCGTCTTGTTGATCACGTTCGTAGGCGTTCCGCAGGTAGTTGGCAGAAACATCATCATTCTCAGTGAGCCACAATATCACTAGGCTTTCGAACCATCTGGGAGGGCAGGGGGAAGAGCATGTGTTGTCAAACAAAATAGGGCATTCAATGTTTACGAATTAATGTAAGTAAAGTTTCAGTGTTATCTACACTTATTTTATTACTCCACTGTAAGTGGACGATTAAAGCCAAATTTAGTTGGAAACTAGGTGTAACCGGTAAAATTGTCATACAATTCGCAAGTTGGATATTAGTATATTAGTCTATAAATAACCACCTCTGACACCTGCGCCATCTTGTACAACTCGGCTTATGAACTCTTTTTGTCTTACCTGTGTCTCCCTTTTCAACGCCTCTATGGTTTTATCCCAACCACGGCTGTTACAATTGTTCGCCTCCACATTGTGCAACTTGCCCCAGGGGACAAACACACATACCGACGTGAATTATTCTCACTCCCGAGCACCTCCGCCTGTTGTTTCGTTCATTCCACATTTGCCCCGAGACACCTCATCCCCAACCCCACCAAGCCACCCTAAGTACTCAACACACTGTATCCCACTATGCGCTGTACAGCGAACCAATTTGATAGGGTAATGTGATCCGATAAAAGAGCCGCGGGATTCCGCCCTCGTGCTTTAAGTTTTGTGACCTTGCAGTACAGTGGATATTATGGTGATTTGCACTCCTTGAGTTTCAACACAGAACGGGTATTGTTGACGTATGTCCGTAGTACATTTTGCTTTCTATTTAAATAATATCAAACTTTTGGCCATGTGTTGGTTTGATCCATGAGTTTTAGGCGTTGCTCGAGCTCCAAACGAATCTGTCGTTTACACTAGGTTCCCTCCATCAATAGTAGGGCATCATCTGGTTTTGCGGGCTCTGATGCTGCATCAAGACTACTGGGGGTTGTGGAACAATGGATCTATAAATAGTGACGTGCCTTCATGGCGGGGATTTATTTTTCGGCTGTCTGTCAGGGTTTCGCTCGGCAAAACATTGAGCTGTCGATGAAATGCACTTTAGAAACCAGGCCAGCATATTTTGCCTGCATGAAAGTTTAGCTGACGTCTCCTTCTTTGCAAAAGCATTTTCACTTGCTGCAGTCAATTAGAAACAGTCGGCCAAAATGCACAGTGTCATCCTCCATCCGGAATGGCTTCAGTGGGTCTGATAGAATCTTCAGTGGCAGCACGCAAGCTTGTAGCTCTCTAAGGGCCACTTAAGGAAACAAGTTCACTCAGTTGGTTTCTCCTGGGGGCCAGTGCACTCGGGCTAAGGAACCTAACTTTGATGTGAAACACATGCGCATCCCGTCATTTCCGTGGAGGTGGAGTTAAGCAAATGCATCGTTAAAAGCATCGATTCGCTTGTCCGAACGGCACGCTAGGTTTCCAATGAGTAAGGGATTTCGACGCAACTCATAAACTGCTCGTCGCCGTCAACATTCAACGAGACAAACTGTCACGAACAAGCGAGCGATTACATCACAACTCCCTAATACACCTGAAGGGTTTACGTACACCCTTGCCGACCAAAGGCTGCATCCCACAATTGTGAAAGGTCTCGGCGCATTCACACGCTGCGATTTGAAGTCCGTAGATAACACAAGTGAGCTATATGGGGATGGACTGCGCATGCTTTAGGCGCTCGAACGCAGCAACTGCATTTGGTCTGAAGAGATTGCCAAGCGCTTCTTCTCTTCCATCGTAATGCCGATGCTCGAGGGGAGATCACCCACCTATTAGTCAGTCCCCCTTGGCTAGGCGCAGATAGTGGAACAGGTTCAGGATGTAGCTACTAGACTAATCCCAATGTACATGGTATGTACTACGAAGACCGATGCAGACGACTAGGACTTTACACCCTGTCCTATCGTCGGTTTAGAGTTTATCTCATAATGACGCACCGGATATTGCATTTGGGTCACTTCCTCATGCTGAGGCCACTGTTGCACGTGCGCGCACCATGCAGTACTCGCAGCCACCGGTACAAGCTGATGGTAGCGGACCTAAAGCGGATAGCTCATCCTCTATGCTTCGATCGTGGTGTGGTGAAATACTGGGACGGTTTACCCGAGCAAATAGCAAAGGCGAGGTAGGTGTCGGAGTTCAAGAAATTCCTAGAGGCCCACTTTGCGGATTTCAGATGCATGGAGCACATCGCACTCGAATAGCACATGGCGCAGCCTTAATATGCAGCAAGATTGATGTGACTCTGCGCGCGTGCCCGAAATAACCATGATAGCGCAACACAGACGTATGTTAACTAGCCCTCAATTTTCAGTAGTCATTATTCAGAATAGACTCTAAACGCTGTCACATATTGCCGCTGTTATGGGAAGCCTTGTTCTCTGCAAATTTGGCAAGTTACCTAGCAGTAGAGGATGATCCGCGCTATATCACAGTGTGCCCATAAGTTACCACGGTCTGCCCACATTACCCGTGACATGGTCGAGTAAGCCGCTGCAGTTGGGGGTTCATGGATTCGATTTCTGTTGGCGCCGAGGCATGCGTACTATTGTGTCACAACAGAATGAAACAGGTGTCCAGGGCTTTTCCGAATGTGTACTATTCTGTCTAACTGAGATTTGTATTTCAGCAGTCTGCATATTCTTCCAATGACGACAAGCCAAAACGATCATATCTTGTGCTCATCGATTGCCACTGTACGACCTCAAGTGAAGAGCCCTGTGATGCTTAAGGTTTATAAGTTTCATCACGTCATATTTCCATCGCATATTTTATCGTCAACAGTGTACAAGAAACATCTTAAGCACCTGATGCAAATCGCTCACAGTTCAGCTGTTTCTTCTTGAAGCAAGAAAAAGTGCAGACGCTAGGTTAGTTGACTAACCCACTGAAAGTAACAATCACCGGGCCGTAAACGTCCGTGTTGGCATTCAGCGAATTCCGCAAACGTTATTGGGAATTACTGCATCAGTGTTCGCCATAGCTGGATACTGGCTTGAATTTGCACCCGCGGTTTTTGCGTGAACTATAGCGTATAGCATGCACGCTGATACCCACTGTGGTGAATTAGGACAGTAGTTGACTCGGGATTTGATTGCACTGAGGTTATTGGTATGAAGCACATGATCAATAAACCGTCACATTAGTGACTCTGGTCCAGCCAACAATAACTTACTATTACATTAAAATGCATAAAGAACGTGGACTTCCATGATAGACGGTTACTACAAATGTGCTGGGCTTACTTTGGATAATCCGGCACTCGTCCCTGACAGTGTGGTAGGTTGGCTATATATGAATTGTAAAACCACTTGACACGAAAACACAAGTTCATGTAATCGGAGGACTTGATTCTTTGCGCTCCGGTGCTGACTGTATCCATATGCCGTTTGGGCCCGTTAGCAAACCGACCGAATCGGGTTTTCGGGGGCGGCGTGTTAACCAAACTTCCGGACTCCATAAACTTTCGAGCCAGTAATGCATGCCTTTCCAGGTCGGAAGATAAGTCGGCTGAAAGATTGTTCCACATCATTTCTGCCGACATGTCACCGAGATTAATTTCATGTGGGAACCTGTGAACGGTGCATAAAGAGGGTATTACGTCTAGACTATCTGGGACTGAGATAGTAGGAATAAATATTTTAATTGTCGAGACGATTAGTACTGAAGTATCACAATGAGAGTACCATGATTCGTCCTTCATGTATACTGTTCAAAAGAGTAAAATGAGGCGTTTAGTTCGTTTACTGACACCTTCGTACGAGTTTTCACAGAGTCCAACGAAGATAATTGGAATGACTGGTTTGATCAGCAGTCGTCAGAGCAGTCGCAGATAGCCCGGTAGATTCTGCAATACTAAGATGTTTTCAATACCATACATTTTACTACCATAAAACAAGTAACCCGGATGAATCTTGATATTAGAAGGCGAAGTAACTTGGTAATCTCCGGATTATTGCTGTGGATAAGTAAAACCACCCTAGCATGTTATCTTGACAAAATAACCATAGTTTTGACTTGCCGTCAAACTAGAGGGAATTTCAGCTAGTAAGAATGGCTCTATAGATCTCCTGGCTGTATCATTCGGAAGACTCAATGGAAAGCCAATTTGCTAAGTTGTACAAGCACACATGTTCTTGTCAAGTAGTCCATTTTGACATGCACTTTGGCTTACGACTGATAGAAGCTCAAATAAGGAATTCAATCTCAATAATATATTGTTTTAATGTACGTTAAGCGAGTGATATCCACCAATGAGTTGTGCTTTCAACATGAGGGGTGACATCCGTAGCTGGTGATCTCCGGTTACAGAACACGGTTTCAGTGATTGGTTCCATTGTTGGAGAAACATGATCCTATATAACCAATGACATAAGCACAGCGCTTTCGTTGCTAAGATATATTTCAAATGAATATTCACTAGTTCTATCTTACCAGCGAGTAGCTGTAGTGCTGATGTACGTTGCGTGATTCAAGTATATTTCGTAGTGAACATTTTAACCGTAAAACAAATGCAAACGTAAACGAAATCTAAGCAAAGAACTGGGTTAAGATGGGAATTCAGCAGTGAACCTAAGTCACCACAAGTTAGACTTGGAACCGAGGATGGTTGTTGTATACCCAGTAGATACTAAAAACCAAGAATTTCAGCGTACTCTGCTTCGTATTATAAGCAGTCTTCGTCGCTGACACTATTTCAGTTCAACTCATGCTCCTTATAATCGATCCTCTGATATAGGAAAGGGCACAAGACCGGAATGCGTGCTTTAGCTGAGGAAGACCTGATGGGGGTTGAACTGTTCGCTGAACTTGACAACTTTTTTGCAAACATTTCGTCACCAATCGAGGTGACATCACCAGTGCGTAGTTGAGTGACGAGCAGTAGCGTAGAGCAGCGTAGAGGAGCCTCGATGAGACTGCCTTGGTGAGAGTGCGAAAACCTTTCAAGTATAAATTCTTCTAGTTGATTTTTGACATTATTAAATGCGACAAACATTCCTTTTCTAGTAAAAAAGGCTAGTCAGATCGAAAGTCTTCTCTGAGAGTAAGTAATTGCATTTGAATGACGCCTTCGGACTCACTGGTTCAGGACGGGTGCGTAATGCTTTCGATCATCTTCCATCACTGAGACAATCAAAGTTATCAATCGATGCCAGTAAGTGAGAGATCGCAGGTTACTTTCTGATTCCATATTTTCTCCTTGATAAGCCTGTTCATTTATACCAATATTAGAAGCTTCCGCCAAATTTTCACTTTCACCTCTTGTCTCCTTCAGTCCACTGCTCTGTGACAAGGAAGAAAATTTCTTACACAACTGACGTTGCTTTGGGATGGGGTAAGCAAAATTGGCATAAACGAAGATTAGGACAATGAAAAATGAACAATGACTTATAACGGGTAAAAAAGCAGGTGCTTGATATGTCCCGTAAGGAGTACGAGAAAGGGTGATGCAAGTGGACCTCAATGTTGAATGTAAGCAGCAGCCCACATGCGGCATGCTGCATTTTTAACCGAATAACGACAACCAGGAAATTTGAGGGAGTTGCTAGATCCCATTCTGCGAAATCAACTGTCGTGTTTCGAAGGGTTTACTTCGTTAAGCTTCAACTTATTCGCTCGCAAGAACAGGTTAGTTCATATTAAAACATGTAGTTCAGTTGCACCGGCATGACGTGATCTATGATGCTAGTAGAGATGTGCATGAGTGTCAAACCGTGCTTGTTCCAACGTTTCATCCACAATACTACCCTGTAACCATGACCCCGCATCATCACAGAAGTACTTCTTCACCACATGTTCTTCAAACTATTGAGAGCCACATGGTGTGGAAGTTGTAGGTGGTCGATACTCCGGTGAAACGCCTCTCCAGACGCTTACCGCGTGCCTGCGTTCTTGTGTGTGTACTACGGCTATTGGCAGTCTGCCGTAACCATTGATTGGTAATTTGATTCTATGTTTATGTGACTTCGAGTGCCTTGCACTCTCTTTTTGATGTACAGTGATAGGTGCCGTGTACGTGAATATATATCTTACTACGCAGTCGTGTTTTCTGATTTCGTCTTGGCGTAACAAACTTGCAACGGAGGTTGCTGTGATCACACTAATGGCAAATTCAATTACCTCACCTCAGCCATTTTGGGATTCTTCCATGGAAAGGCCTACTACGCATCAATGGCTGCAGTGGAAAACTACCTTCACTACTTACGTTGATCTACCTGTTCTGCTTGGTGGTAACGGTACGATGGATGATGCGTCAAAAATCAAATTACTGCGTCACCTCTTAAGCAACGAGGGGCAGCGATATTTCGATAGCCTACAACTACATAAGAAACAAAACTTACTAGCTGTTTTTCACTCTCTTGCTCGCCTGTGGGGTGAAAAGCCACACGTATTTAAAGCACGTTACAAGGTTAACACCATGCGGCAGCAGCAGAACGAACTTCTAAATGAGTCGAGAAACAATCTCGACTCCTAACTGCTCTTCCTGACTGTGCCCACAACCAGATCAAGTCAGCCCAATTCGAAGAAGTAATGCTGTTCGTAGCATTAATTGTTGGTGTTCTTGACGAGAATGCATGGGAACACGTTATCGGAAGATGAAAAGTCCTTGACTTGGGAAAGAGCCTGTGACATTTCGACAAAGTGCCAGTCTCCTTCAGAAACTAACGGCATTCTCCGCCCCTAATCTGACAATTTCGCAAGATGAACATAGTCTCTCAGACTAAAACTGGTAACACATTATCTCACTCCATACAACGCAGAGAATTCCGTTATCGCTGTGGTGAACAGCATTCAACACCAGTTGACTGTCAGCATCTTCATTCGATATGCAGATTTTGTGGGAAGAGAGGACAAAACTAGAAGGTGTCTTTCCAAACGCAATTCCGCTGCGCAGGAAACCTTAAAACTACAAAGCAGATCACCGAAGAGTTAAAGCAGAATTGGATAAACACCACGATTATTTTTAATCCCAATATCACCACAGAGAAACCATTTGTCGCGACTAGCCAAGTTAACGAACAACCTGTAGATTTCGAAATTGATATTGCCTCCGCAGTAACCTTCATACGACCTGATGCTCTATCGCAACTGTCAAAGTTAGATCATCCTGCAACGAAATTACGATCTTACACTGGACAATCGGTGAATGAATTGGATGCTTTTCTTGCACGCATATCGTACGGCAACTCGACGGATGTCATCCGAGTGTACGTCGCTGGGGGGACCCGGCGCTAACGTACTTGTTCGCGATGGAATTAAACGTCTTCCTGGCATCATGTCAGTCTTCGTCTTCTTATTGCGCTTTCCAACTTATTATTGGGAACTAACTCAAGGCAAGTCAAACGTCAACATTGTGGAAGATCATCCGCTACTCTTCGGAATTTTGCAACATATGCAGCCTTGATTGACCAAACTGAACCAGGGTTGTTGGTAGATTTGACACTGAAACCACACGCAGCACTGCGATTCTGGAAAACATGTACCGTACCTTATGCACTTCGGTACATAGTCGAGAGTGAGCTCCGCTGACTACAGTAAGAGGGCACAATAGAACCCCTTCAGTATTCCGACTGGGCAGCTGCTATAGTGCCTGTACTGCAGAGTGCTTGCACCATAAGCATATGGGGGGACTACAACGTTACGGTCAATCAGGCACTACAACCGGACCAATACCCACTGCCAAAGATTGAAGACATCTATGCTTTCCTTTCATACAGTGGACATTTTACCAAACTAGACCTGAGCCACGATTACCGGCAGATCGAACTCGACGAGGACTCATGTGCCTACATGGTTGGCGGCATCCGGTTTCGGGTTTAACTGTCACTATGGCCAGCCACAGGACGCCTGCGCCTACAGAGGGATCATGAGTGGCTTGCGCTGCACCACCCACAGCGCCACCCACACACCCCATATCCAGTGTACATCCGAAGGAATAAGACCGGGAGGCATGTGGATGGGAGCCACGTTTCATCCACGGAGTCGGCCCACACTCCTTCACAGGCAAACACAAGCACGCTGTATTTGGGAATCAAGTGCACACAAGGCGGTGGCTGGACCGTAGTCCGCTCCACACTGAGTGCATGGAACCACTCTTTGATCCTAACACGGCCACAAGGACCGTGCACCCCGTCCCCTCCAGCAACGACCAGCTGTCTTCTGGAGCCAGTATAGACGACGTAGTGGGGAATTGACAGGTAGGCATCTTGTCAACATGCACATCAAGCGCAGCCACACCAGGGATATCAAGCAACAGCCAATCACTTGAAACGACAAGATGAAATAAAATAAATCGGATAGTGCATATAGATGCGGTGACATAATTCTTCACTAAATGAGCGTATGTAATAAAATTGGTTACGAACAAATCCGCGATAAGTTCAAGACGTAAGAAAAAATATTTTAAGGAAATGCCACGAAAGCGAAAATGTTATCGAAGTTAACTACAATTAGCTTAAGCGACGTGTGAAAGTCTACAGATGATAGTACAGGTTGAGAATAATGTGCGAATGAAAAGCATTAGTGCAAATATTGTAAACCCACCACCTGAAATAAAGAGACTTAGCATGCAAGCACGCGGTTAGTAAATCGAATGCTATGTGTCTACAAACGATGCGCCGGTTCTGCCTACGTTCTCTGCAGGACCCGTCGTCGCTTCGATGGTGGTCCCGAATGGCCTCACCCATGGCTCACTAGGCCTCCCTGACTCAGGCACTCGCGACCGCATGTGCAACAGCACCATGCGCTCGATCTCGATGGAGTACGACCCATCTAAGCTTGCCGCTTCCGCACTTGCCGCTTCTTCTCTGCATGTATGAGGTCTTTCTCCCGCACTTCGGCAACTGCCTTCGTGATTACATCGCGCCATGCACGCCGACCAACCGCCTTTGATTCCTCTGATCTGCAATCAAGATTAGAACGTGAAAGGCTCACTTTGATCATGTCCTGGTAACGTAACTTTAGTTTCCCCACATGCCGCTTCCCAATACTCAGCTGACCATATAATACTTGTTTCGGTATCCGCGTGGAATCCATACGGCTCACATGACCGATCCACCTCAGGTGTCTCAATAAAAGTATGCAGTTCACTGCATACATTCCACTACGGCGCAACACTTCCGTGTCTGCAACTCTGTCGCCCCAACCGATGTGCAAAATCCGTCGTAAACACTGCTGATGGAACCGCTCGAAATATCGCACATCCCGCCAGTGCATCGTCCGCGTTTCACTGCCGCATAGAAGAACGGACAACACCATGGATTTGTACACCATCAGCTTCGTGCCAATGGTAAGCTGATGGTTGTTCCACACTCGGAACTCTAGCTTTCCGAATGTCGCCGCTACCTTCGAGACGCGGATACGCAGCTCACTGTGTAGCTGCTGGCCTGTCGACATCACAGTAACAAGATAGCAGAAGCGGGAGGTGGTTTCCAATACTTCAGCACCAATGCTGATTCGCGGCAATATTGAAGATTGCACCTCCGGTGAAGGCTGAAAGAGACAGACAGTTTTGCTTGTGTTGCTGGTGAGCCCGAATCTAGTCGCTGTCTGAGCCAGAGCACTAGTCATGTGCTGCAACTCATCCGAGCATTGTGCGAACAACGCACAGTCGTCAGCAAACAGCAACATACGGATAGTTGTTTCACAGACTAGAGTTCTCGCACCGAAACGACGGATGTTCAGCAACCCACCGTCATTACGGTGCTCCACACGAACACCGTAAGCACAAGCCGCATCAAAAGCACAAGACATCACTGCATGTAGATATGTATGAAACAGAGCAGGAGCTAAGACACAGCCTCGCTTCACACCAGAGACAACTGCAAAATCATCCGAGGTCTCTCTACTCAGCTGCATCCTCGCCCGCATACCACTGTGCAGACATTCAATTGAACTTACAAACTTACACGGGCAACCAAACTTACCCAACACCAGCCACAACACCTCGCGTTTCACCGTATCAAATGCCTTGGGGAAATCAACAAAAAGCGTATACCACGGTGGGTGTCTTGTTCATGTGTCTACACCACAATCCATGCACACCTGGGGCTCTTTCGTTTTGTACGCATGACTTTTGGAGTAATCTCTGCGCCAGATACCTTCCAACGTATTTTTGACTCGATGGTGAAAGACATACCCAATACATGCGCTTGCTTGGGTGACACCTTGGTAACTGGAAAAGCGACTGATGAACACCTACGCACCTTGGATGTAGTGCTGCAAAGATTGTCAGCTTCTGGGCTTGTTTAACAAAAGAGAAAATGCGTGTTCATTGTTCCAAAT